CACGTCAGATACTACATTTCATTCGATAAATAATAAAAAAACTACAACAATCTACAATCCAGTATATACCTACCCGTGCTTCCACCCGAACACAACGCACCCTCGTCATAAATGTATACAAGCTATCTTTCCCGTATCATACATATGGTCATTATAAGGGTTCCTTTCTGTTTGAGGGAAGACGGTATAGTCATCTATCTATAATAACCAATTGGCCCGTCCGTATAATGATCAATTTACCGTCTTTCCCCGAACACAACGCACCCTGCGTACCACCCACCCCTCATATGGAAATAAGAAGAGCTCCCCGATGAATCGTTGACCAGAAAAAATGCAATCCCTAACCCTATCCATATCCGTATCTACATCCGCTTTAATAGCGGCGTCTATATTCTATAGTATATACCGGCTGAATAACTAAACGGCCGATTACCAAAGGTAAGGTGACTGTCACATGTCTAAAAAAAAATCCAACCTCTACTGTTCATGGCAGCAGATTATCGCTCGAAGCGTCGGAGGGGGTGCTCTGCAAACTTTCGACCAGGGACTCACCCGCCTCCTCGTCAGTACATCAATGTCTAATGAAACGGCAATAATGGCTAAAAAGCGCCGGAATCCCCCGTTTTCCGTCCTCTTCGTGCTTTTCCCGCCAACCATCGACTGCAGGGTTTCTTGGGAACGGTCTGTAGAGAACAATCCGGAAATACACACCTATATATTGTCACAAGAATATCAGAGCGGTCCTTCGGGACGTCCGTTAAAATTGGAAGGATACAGAGATGATTAGCATGGCCCCTGCGCAAGGATGACACGCATAAATCGAGAAATGGTCCAAATTAAAATTAAAAAAAAAAAAGAAGAATATCGGAGCGCACCTATATATGTACTGCCAGGTAAACCGTAAGGCAGAGAGGGAGCAGAGGACAACAAACGAGGAGCTGTGACAAACTGTTTCGTCGGAGTTTCACCTACTGACTCATCAGGAGTCTGTATGTACTTGATGAATATATTGTCACAAAATATCAGAGCGCAAATGCGAAAGAAAAAAAAAAGAAAAAGGAAGGAAAAAAAGGGAATTCAATTTTTTATCTTCTTCCTTTTAACTCCCCCTGTTCAGAACCTCTTGCGTACAAGGCCGCCCACGTGGATGTAGGTTGAGCGGCGGCTGCCCCCACCCCCATATGTCATATCGACCCACTTGCACACAGCCAAAAGGCAAAGAGGGAAAGAAAAGAGGAAGGGAACAGCCAAATATATATGTAGTCACAGATCCATTCCCCCTACCCCGGTAGTCCACCTCTCTATCAACTTTTATTATTATAATATATTTGCCTCCCTATTGCATTACATCTGTGCGTGTCTATTTTCGGCTCGACGATCTTCCTTCCGCACTCCGTCCCCGCCCATTTCTCATTCGGTCGGCCATTTTTCTCTCGATCAGATAATGGACCAGTGCTGATCCGTACATACCCCGACCCATCTGTCCTTTTCCGTACAGATACACCCAAAGAGATCACTCGTCGTCGGTTGGCTCGGCTCCGTTCATATCCCGACCGGTCAAGATGGTTTTCAACGGACTCGATCAATCGAGAAACGCATCTCTGTTTCCCTTTAGCTGGGATATGCTACGAAGACGTGAGGCGACGTTTCGGCAGACTGAAAATCATTGCCATATCATAATCACGGGCCATCGTCTTGAATACGGTTTCCAGAATACGGTTTCCAGATTTGACTGAACCTCTCCTGATGAGGAACAACAATCGCTTCGCTAAAAGCCATTCACACACCCGACCGATGAGCACGGCATGGCACGGCGTGGCATTCAATCTCGGCCCCGCTAGCCATATATAGAGCTTTCGAGAATTATCTAATGCACAGGTCAATCAATAACCGTTGAGTCATTAGTCAATCACGGAACGGAACCGACCGATTCACAGTTCAGTCCGCTTGTCATCAAGCCCTATCATCACGAACTCGCATTCGTAACGAGAGGAGGGAAAGAACGAAATGTACCTCGTCTTTGTCGAACAGACCGTATCTGAAACAATCAGTCCGTGTTCAAATCCGGAATTCCGCCGCCGATCTTCGGGGCGGCTCTACAGATTTTCAGAGCTCTCTCTCTCTCTCTCTCTCTCACACTCTCTCTCGTTGTGTGTGTGATTCCGAGAAGTCCGCGCCATCGCTACCATGTCTGGCCCGCTTGAATGTATAAGCACTCGCCTCCCTCCAAAAAAGAGGGAAAGCCAGGGAAAGTTAATTAAGGAGCGGGCATTTTGCACAGTAAAAGCGCTTCAGTACCGTGTGACCGCTGCAGGGCGTCGTTATGGGAACCGAGTGTGAGCAGGCCAGTATACGAACGAGCAATCGAGGGAACGAGTATACAACGCGACCATTTGTGGAGGCAAACGTTAAAGCAAGTGCGTCCGCGAGACTCGGACAGAATACCAACGACTGAGGATGAGTAAGCGAACGAGCGAATTGCAGCGACTGGAAGATAACAGGAGACCGAACGAGAGAGCGTGAAAACTTTGAGATCGAATCGGTGGCGATTGTCAATGAGTGGAAGCGAAGGAGAGGATGCAACCGACTCATAACGAACGAGTCGTCGAGAATATGCGCGGGGAATTTTGAGCGGGCGCGGAAGGAGTGCGCGGGAGCAAGTGACCTGGAAGGAGTGCGCGGGAAAGATTGCGCGCACGGAACCGAATACAAGAGAGAGGGACTATGTACGAGAGAAAACGAGACGAGTGAACGAGTGACAACAATGAGGTTGTGGGCAACGATCGCACAACAGTGACTGCGAATGTGAGAACGAGCGTGAGTTAAAGAGAGCACATGTGAGTGACCGGGGCAGTGACGGGACGAGAAGAGAATAGAGAGAAATGATTTAGACAAGTAACATAAAACTCTGGTTAGCAAATGAGATGAAACTGTGCGAGGGAAGAAGCAAGCAAACGATTGGGAGATAAACTAGAGAGCAAACAAGGAGATGCTAATCGTTCTCGATCGAGACCATTATTGCCTGCGAAAGAACGGCGGGCGGGCGGCAAAGGAAAACAAAATGAGTAAACGAACACGATGAGCGTATCACAAGCGAATAATGATGAGAAAACGCCCCCACCAAACGAGTAAGAGAGAATAGAGAGAGAGAGAGGAGAGAGTAGGAGAATTAGTCTGCCAACGTGCCCATCAAGGTCTGAGAAAGAACCAAAATGGCGCCGTGACCTCGTCCACATAACACGACTTGTTCAGCGAATTTAATCGCATCTACGGACAAATACGGCAAGCATACCGCCCCCTCGCCAACGACAGAATTGATTGGGACCCTGAGGAAACTTCACTAGGGGTCAGATTTGGAAAGAACGTATAGAGTAATCAATCACTTGGATATGGAAAGAACTGTAGAGTAATCAATCAGTTGCCGAGTAATCGATCGTCCTCGTGATGGGGCGCTTTGATCCTTAACCCAACCTGCTTGAATGACTGTCCGGATGGCTCCGTGAATAAGTAACGAGTAGGGCTTAAAAGAACTGACTATGAATTGACTATGAATAGACGCAGTGATTGAACCAGTAACTGACTCAGAAATGGGAGCGAGTAAATGAGAGAGATCGGGGGATTGAGGGAACAAGTAAAAGAAAAAGAGAAACGAGAAAGAAAAGCGTGAAGGAACGAGTGAGAGATCGGGTATTGGGGAATGAGTGAAGGTGCGAACGAGGGGGAATGGAGCGAGTGAAAAAATGAACAAGTACGCGGCAGAATCATCCAGCCTGAGTTAATACAGAGCTACACACTTATTTTCCATCTAATGCGCTAATTATACAATGATCACGTACCGGTCTAAGTGAGGAGCTGCAATTCTACAAAGAGATTCATGGTCACCGCGAACAACCAAAGCCATTCACCTCATCGCAGACTGGTTTCCATACATTCGTTGATTAATCCTTGGCTTTCTCTGACAAGCGCATAAGAAGTGGAAAAAAATTGAAGGTTTTCTAACCAGAAAACAATCTCTCTCTCTCTCTCTCTCTCTCTCTCTCTCTCTCTCTCTCTCTCTTGCACTGCAGTTCACAACTACAAGTAGAAAACAGACCATGTTCCCATGTTATGATCAAGCATTACATGTCTCTCCAGGCCGATGCGCATGGCAAGGCGAGACCCACAAATGCCATCCCCCATTCGCCGAGTTTGCTTTCAATAGTGCTACCGCTACAAAGATCGTCCTGCACTTGCCCAGCCTCATCTACAATAATATCGAAACGGAGAACCGCAAAAGACGAAATTGAAGGTTTCTCTCTCTCTCTCTCTCTCTCTCTCTCTCTCTCTCTCTCTCTCTCTCTCTCTCTCTCTCTCTCTCTCAAGCGAGCGAGCGCGCATTTAAACCACGCGGAGAGGATTTTCCTCTTGAGCCCACACTGAAGTCAGGGTTTCCACATACAGTAGTCAGGCTTTCCATTCTAGCATGTTTTCGATCAAGGATCAAGGCACAACTGAATGGAGGGTTTCTTTCACCACTCCCAGTACTTCAGGGTTCCGGTGATGCCTCTACCTCTCCGTATTTCTTTCATTTTAGGGAACATACATAGGATCTGTCTACCTACCCAAAATCTCTCTTTACGTAGACAAGAGATCTCGACAGGACTCGCCGTAATAATAAATATACAAGGCGTTTTACGGAGGACGCGATCGAGGAGTAAAATCGAGAGGAGATCCATACAATGCGACAAGCAGACAAGCGAACCAAGCAAGCAATCATGGAGAAAGAAGCCCACCCATTTTCATGCAGTATGGGCAAAGAACAGGCAGGCACGCAAAACAAGAATCCATATTACATTATAATAAGTCGATAACATTCAACTGAACTGAGCCGATTTCGGCATAGAGACTGTTAAATAACGAACACAATGCGGTAGTATGTGTGCGGCTGTGAACACAGAAGTCAACACCGAGTTGCGTCAAGCTGAAGTCAAACATGGTCACCTCGGATTCACACCACTCACCTTGCTCGGATTGCTCGGCGGAGGGACTGCATCCGCATTCTGACTCCGGGGATGCAGGTTCAGTTTGGGACGGCCCGTGGGGATGCCGTCGTCATCGCCTCTGTAGCTCATTTTCTCCTCTGTCTCCTGCAATCTCTCTCTCTCTCCCTCTCTCTCCCTTTCTTCTGAGTTTAACTCCTCTCTGATTTGCCACGAACGAGTGGAAAGCCGTCGCTCTTCTTAGGCAATAAACGCCCAAACGTACTCTTCGGCTGCAAGATCTTTCGTTGAATTGCCTTACCCACCACAAGCAACGTTCGCTGAAAAGCAAGCTACGCTGCCTTCCGTAGTAGCCCCACTCAACTGGAGTTGACTTGCCGCCCGCGATGATGAGCAAACTGCGTGCGCCTGCGCCTGCGCCTGCGCTCGCGCCTGCGCCCGCGTACCTAAGTGAGTCTCCGCATGCGTGGATGGCAAAATCTAACCACGAACGTACAACGAACACTGACAGCGATGCGTTTGAGTACTACTTCAGAGCACGCGCCGAAACAACACAATGATAGCTGCTGCTAATTGATAGCAGCGAAGCGATGAAGCGAGAGCGGGGAAGTGAAAAGCAGAAAAGACTGGTGAGAACTACCGGTAGGCGGGCGGTCCTCTCACCTGAAGGGCCAGCTACCGACTGCCCCGAGGGCGGAAGTCGTCCAGATCACGTGGTCGGCCGCCGCACCTGCCCACCTCCGGGCCAGCGACCACATTGACATGGAACAAACCCTCGCTGGTTTCTGCCCTCCATCTTGTCAAACGTCAAAACTGGTTCAGAACAACGGAGCCGTCAACAGCTTGTTTCCGTTAGGAGCCCGCATTTCTCCCTCTGCATATGGGACTTTCATCCCACAAACCCCCCTGTTCCCTCACCGAACACGAGGCGGGTAGGCCTGGTTCCGCCATAAACACCCCTGTACAAACCTCGCCCTCTATGGCTCGGCCCGGCTTCAACATGCTCTACCTCCTTGTTCGCAGCCCTAAGGCTTCGGTATAGTGGGCTTCAGCGTCTGTGTTGGCAGCCCGTCGGGGTTGCGTTCCCCCCGCCCCTAGACATCTCAACGTCACTTCAAATTTCAACGTCGGTGGTAGTTCGGGAGGGTGGGCATTTTGAGGTTTGGGGCCTAGCCAGGGGCTGGACCACATAGGACCGCTATTGGCGCGGTGTCGCACTTTTTCCAGTCGGGCCACTTCAGGTGATCGAAAAAGCCAACAAGCTGTCACACAGGATTTTGATGATTTTTGCAGTTTATAATTAAATTAATTAAATAAAGCAAATCCCTTTCTGTTGTGTGCGTCCGGCTTCAAGCGAGACCCTTCAATTGCTGTCTTCGCCGGTTCCCGATCTTAAAATCTTTTATTTTTATTCGGAACAGCGAAGATTATGCAAATGATAATTATGAAAAGGCGTGTCATGCATGTATCGATTTGATTTATTTGCTAATTTTGAGAACTGTGACGAGATCATCAGAGAATACAATCATCAAGTCAAGTCAATGCAAATAATGCAAAAGCGACTGACTCAAGCAAATGACAAAGATAGATGAGGGGAAAGTGGGAACTCATAATAGTCTCAAAAGGTTCAGACAAATAGGCACTGCCAGCACTGATCAAGAGTCATCACTTTTCCCTTTAAAATTTCATCCTCAATCTCTCGTTTTGCTACATGTTTTTCGTGCCTCGAGCCACGCTTGTGTACCTCTTGAGATTGTGACCTCTGAATATAAAGTCGTCTGAAGCCTGCAAGTTCCGAACACTTTCATCCAAGTCCCGTGATATAAAAGTCAATCATAGCACAAAATTTATCCCATAGGGTGGGAAGATATGGTTGAGAGAAGATCCTTCGTCTGAGATGCCGAAATTTTGACGGTTTAGTCACTGCCTTGTAGTCAATCTCTGCTGGAGAAATGTACCTCTTGGCTAGATCAACCAAGTCATCCCAATATGAGTCGTTCGTGAGAGGAAAGGGTATTGGAGGCTTGGGATAGTCGGTGTAGAGTTTGGACAAAAAACTACGGATCAGCTTGATACCACTCTCGTCAAGTTCTCTCTCTTTCTCCTCTAAGTACTTGGCTGATACAACATAGACTGAGTCAAAATGTTTGTGAGTCTCTTTGTTCTTCCTCACATAGGGTCGTAGATTCAGAATCATTCCCCTTGAGAACTCAGTGAGGATGATAAAAATTAACAGATTATCTTGTATGAAACCAATTGCATCGACGTATTGATATTCAAAGGCATCTTTGAGTGCTATCTTGTTGATGTTGATCAATACAGACTCACAGACAGAAAAGAACTCTACTTAACTCATGTGACTGCTAACTTTCGACGAGGAAGCTGTTTAATTGATGTCGATCTTCCAACAGAAATTGATTTCGTAAGTTCTTGTTGCTTTCTCAATAGTCGAATCCCCTATGTTGAGGGTACAACTCGATCGGTGTTGACTTTAGTAATAATTGGCGGTAATAGGATGAGAATAAGCTATGATCAAGGGTTACATGTAAGACTTCAGATAATTGTTCATTGCGAAGGTCGTCGTACATAGGTCACTGTCAATCAGGTACTGATCTGAAGGTTCAACGAGCAATATCCGGGTGAATTTTATTGAGTAACTCTCATAAGTGCCCAGAGAAAGAGTCTAGGAGTTCAATTACATGAGCTCATATGCCTCTGAGTTCCACTCTGGCCCGCTCAATCGTCTCTACGAATGAGACTGTACCGTGTAGTCTGTCACTGTAATCTTGATAATAGAAGACAAAATCAATATCTCTCTCACTCAAATTTCTCGAACTGCAAGTTTCCTCAGAATTTCCTTGTGGAGTTCCATATCGTGCTCGGTCTCATTTTCTCACCCTTCATTTTTTTTTTTTGCGTATGTTGCATTTCACTACTAGTATATTTGCATCCTTCATTGTCCAGTTTTGTTAATAACCGACAGTCAATCGCTCAATCTGACATTCAACTCTCTGTCCTCTTTTCTCGTCGCCAGCATATGAGGTTTTTGTTGTTATGTCACTCAACTCGCTGTATGAGCTAGCAGAACGGTGAAGATTTCATCAGGAGTTGTATAAATCGTTAGATACTCACTCAAATGGCATGCGAATAAAAATAAATCATGCCAAGACCCCTATGAATAAGTTGCGCATCTGATTCTTGTCAAGTGTGACTCTTGAAACAAATACTAACAGTCCGCTGGGTGTGACTCATACCGGAAAGCTTGCTATGAGCGGCCTTCAAAACCTAGTAAACTTACAACATGTAGAAGGAGTCTCGCGAAAAATTTAATGATCGTCATTGGTTCCTCTCCTTTGCTGGTTCATGCGGGAGTGTGTATAGTTGGCTCTGACTCATGCAACAATCCTCACCTAAGAGATCCAATCAGACATACTAAAACGTCACTTGGTGATAATCCACGTCTGATAAGGACTAGGGCATAATTAAAGGTCGAGTTAGCCAGTATTTAGAAGTAGGTTACTGCCAATCATAAGTCTAGTGCACGAAAACGTTACTTCAAGTCGATACTCTTCAAGAAGTAACCAACGGAATGTTACCCCTACCTACATACTACACGGGTCTTCACACTTAGCAGTTGTCGGATTGAATAGCAAACGCCGAATGTAGAATTACGGATTGTCAAGGTAAAATAGGGAGGAACCTGCAACGAAAGTCCGAACCTTATACGCTAACCAAATAACTTTGGTCAAGGAATAACACTTTACATGAGCCTCACCTGATTTCATTAACGACAAACTTCGTCTGAATACTACAAATGAAGTATTTCGTTCGAACAATACCCCGGTACCCATAATAATAAACTTTGTCGGAAAAAAAAACAAAATATTTCGTGACAGCAAACCAAATTCAAACAAACCACAGGATAATGTTCATGGCAATACTTACTCAAACTGAGGTACAACGCATGATGGGTAGCAACTTTCCGCTTCTGACTTCGTATCGGACCGTCTGAACGACAATTCTCTCATAGACGATACGTTGTATATTGTCTGCGGAGAGGAGTAATACCATAACAAGAAATGAATTTGGCTCCTAGTTTAGAGACTACTGACAGTGTCAATCAGAATCTGCTATATCAACTTATTGAGTGACATATGGTCAGTCTGACAAAGGGGCGTTGTAGAGTATCACCCTCACGTAAGTCCTACTCAGACACAGGTCAAACGCATCCTGAGTGATGTGATTTCTATAACCGTTCGTGCATATTCAGTGCGGCCCTTCCCGAATCATAGAGATTGAGAACTGCAAGGATATTATATACAACATCGACCTCTATATCATTAGATTTCAAACTGCACTTCGTTGTGTTTTTTTGGAACCTAGTTTTTAGTGTCACTTATCCAGGCGGAACTAAGTACGAAGTTGGACCAACACTAAGAGGCAGATTAAATCTTGGGACTCGTTTAGGCCCCGGTTTGGTAAACCTAATACAAATTCATAATTAATACTGCAACTTTGAGTACAGTCTTTGTCAGTGTCCAAGAGAAAACTCTAAGTTCAGAGCGCAACTTGTCCCTGTTTCCTCTCTAATATCCCGGTGGCTACCATTTAACAATAGTTGACACTCAGGTAGAGCACAAGGCAATATATACGATAACTTTGATTACTACGTGTGTTTTTCCAATGATGCAACGATCAAAGGTTACATTCAACCAAGGCGAAAAACACAACTGGTAGCCACATACATCAGTGTAGTGCAAACTGACACAACTAGTAAGTGATAACATGGAGTTTCATCACTCGCTGTTCGAGCAAGACTAACTTACAGCGTCCTAATCCACACGCACACACACACAAACTTGCTATTGAAATTTTGACAAGTCATAACTTAAAAGGAGCATTTAGTCCCCGTCAAGTAGGTATTTGGCTAGAATGTATGCAACAAATCTAAGAGTGACCTTCTTTTTTTCCATGAGAAAAATATATAGTCTTTAATGTCAAAATTCAAACTTAATTCTAACTTAATTTTCGTGGTAGAATGAAAAACCCTTAGAATAGGAGCGGGAGTTGCTCAATAACCACCTTTAGTTAATTAGCTAACCATTTAAGGGTAAACTAAACAAAGGCGCAAAAGGGGATGACAGAGCCTAGCTAGTGGAACAAATCGATCTGAATTTTATTAGAGGAAGTCAATCACTACCAAAAAAAAAATAGACAGAGAGGAAAAGAAAAACGCGGACGAAAGTCTTATCTGTTATTTGCCCATCATCAACTGGTCACTCAGGATTCACCGGTATCTATGAATCCGTCTTACACAAAGCCTCAAACTGGTTTGATCACTATAATTGTTGAGTATGAGAACAGACCAGGGAATCATACAACTCATTGGCGGGCAACCCATGTCAATAGTTGGGTGCCCTTTGTCAGTTTTTCCGCAATCCCAATTGAAACGGCATCTCCCCCTCTCCGGAACCCTAATCATTCATGAGTGAATCACAACCATATTGCGACAGAAAGGACAGTTTTCACATAGCCTGACAACTCGTACGTGATTCGCAAG